GGGGGGAATTACTTCTGAGATTTACTTATTACAACCATTATAACTTTCTTATTAAGATTCGTTACACGAGTTGCTTTTCTATTCTTGCTTTGCCGGCTGTAAGTCGGGGCAAAGTTTTGTTGCTTTTCATTCCTCTCGATAGTCGGATTCTTTCTTGTGGTTGTTGTTCGAAATGCATCACTACAATTATTAGGTTTATTTTGCTGTTGAAACTCTGGTCGCGGGAGCTATTTATTTGGATTCCTGATTTTCTTATTAATTCGGCGCTTCAGGAACTGGTTAGCTTCCTGGCAATGCAATCCTTTTATTTTCTCCCTCTATATGGTAGTTCTTTGTAAAGTAGCCGCTTTAGTTTATTCATGTTTGAGTTGCCTGAATGTGTAAAGCATTCTGCTAGGAAGCGTGCAGGTCAGTTCTTCCTCTTCTTGTTGGTGTGTTTTGCTCGAGTTCTGTGATCCCTATCCATACTAGAAAGCATGATCGTAGGACTGAGAATTGCTAAAACGGGTGAAACCTATTGTTTTGATAAAACTAGAGAGATCTGCTTAATATGTTATATTCGAGTATCGGGTACCATTCTTAATTTTAGTTGATATGCAGAATTTGATAATTAGACACCGTTGCTTGTATGATTAACATGGTAATTATTTCGTAAAAAAGAGACTTAAATCCGTTATGTGAAATGTCTGTGAGATGTGTATGTTGTATGTGCGAGGAAGGCAAGTTTCTATTAAAATCAACAAGATTTGGATTGCTACTTATTTCCTTCTTTTACTTAGTTTAAGTTATGGACAATATGAATAACTAAAGATTCTCCCTTTCAGAATTAATATTGAAGGTTGATTATCTGTTTTTAATAAGAGCTTTTCAGTTGTATGTATAATGTGTCATTGCATGTTTAATTATCAAATAACTGACTACTATGGATATTGTTTACCCAAAAAACGGATAGAGTTAAATTTGTACGCAGTTCTAAAGATATGTGGTATCACTTAATACAAATCGTAGGAATAAATAGAAATATCAAATATTAATTGCAAATAATGCAAAATAAACAAGGTTGGAAAGAAAATAATTTTTAGGACTAAGCAAGATGATTCAGTTAATGAAACCTAAAAGAATAATCCTTGAATATCTGAGAATATGGTGCTTGAATTACCATGTAAGCATGAAACAAATGCCTTCTACAGAAATGTGGCTATCCCCTTTATAGTGGAGGATCCTTTCTTAGATATAATTAAAATACATAGGAGAGAACCCATGATAAATCAACTTTTCCCTAATTTTCGCCGAGATTCTCTCCCTTAGTGTGTTTGCAACGGCTCTTGTCTGTGAGCTCGAGTTCGATCGGCCTCGGTGCTGGTCGGTATTGCTCCTAGAGCTCGATATGGATTCGGGATCGGGTGATGATTCGGACTTGGTCGTGGTTGGCCTCTGCCCCATAAGATCGAAATCATCTCATCATAGTTCGATTCGGACCCGAGCTCGATAATGACTTCAAACTCAGTGTTTGACTTATACCTGAAATCTGACGCTCATTCGTACCATCTTCGGAACCTAACCCGATATTACGAAGTCTTTCTTCGATCCATTATGTTTCGACCTCGATCAATGGTATGAAGGCCGAAATCTATTTTTACCGTATACAGATAGTCCCCTCGTTTCTCGGGAAGGATGTGGTGAGAAATAATATGATTTTTCAATGGCTCGATTGGATTATAAGCTGATGTTCACATTGAGCTCGATCATGACGCACGTGATAGCTTTCCCGTCGATTTAGTTTTTCAAGGCATTTAATGCATGTCAGACGGTTGTCGGCCACCGCTGATATTGAACCATCATTGGTTTAATATATAAATAGCCCTTCCTTTTACCATTTATCACTTTTACAACTCCAATCTTCCATACTTCCCAAGTTTGTTTTCATACCCTCTAAGTTTATTCGAAAATCTATGATTCCTCTTTGCAAAAGCCCTTCTTCAAATTTACCTTATTCCGGACCTTTAAATTCAAAAATGGCGAAAACATCACAAATCACTCCTCAGAAAGAAAAAGTTTCATCTTCACAGTCTGTCGCCGACGAAACATCAGTAGAGCCACAGCCTTAGGAGTGTATTCTCGGGGCATGTGTTCTTACCTCTGATTTTAAGGTTGATAAAGGCTCATCGGTTCCCGGGCGATGTTAGCCAGTATAGACGTACATGTGTTCAATAACCGAGAAGCACCTCAAACAGCTAAAGAAATATTGTAATTGGGAGAAAAAAGAAATAATAATCCCTTCTTCTGACGAAGATATCACCACTTATGTGAAAGGGTTTTTGAGTGTGTATACTTACCTTTTCACGTTAGTCCCCCTCGACTTGATTCGATACTTTGTGAACAAAATCAATGGGATGTCGTTCACCCTCGAGTATCTCATCTGATTGTACCGTCCTCGACTTTTATGAGGAGGGTTAATAAAACTTCAGCGTCGGGCTACCAAGGCTCTGTTCTCGAGCATTGACGAGGATAGGGATCGAGGCTGGATGGAAAGGTTTGTTCAAGTAAGGACTTTGGACCTGATTCCGACTGAAAAGATGTCTTTTCCCGAGGATTGGAATATGAAATGTAAGTGTAATTCTGCTGTTACTTCCTTCTATTTTGTCCTTTTATTTCTTTTCTCACCGATACTCCTCTTTTTGTGATGCAGCGATTCCCTGGATGCCCGGAGCAGTTCCCGATCTCGAAAACTAGGTACGAGACCTATCTTCAACCTCCACATACGCTGAGCGCTCATGGGGTGATTTGTCAAAAGGCCGATGGGAGGCCATAAATCATGGTAAGCCCCTTCCCCGTACTTTTTGGTAGTTCGAACGAGACGTTTTACATATACTCTAATAAACTTTCCCGTATGTAGGTGTGGGTAAAGATGCAGTTTTGAGGCCCTCGTCCTTCGAGGAAGAGGCTTCGGCTTCTCTTCCAAAGCCGGTGAAAGACAAAAAAAAAAGAGCCTATGTTCCCGAAGATCCAAAGCTGAAGAAGAGGACGACTCATAAGCCGAACAAGAATACCATTCCTTTGACCGTAGAATCAGTTTTGCATTTAATGCACGAAGAAGAAGAAGAAGAAGAGAACAATGGGTCCGCGCTGGCGGCTCGAACGAAGAAACCACCGATGTCCCACAGGCAGCTAGATCGATGATGGTTCATAAGGCTCTTCCTCGAACTAAGGATATATCAGAGCAATATTTGGGCAGTGTCCCGGAGTTGTCGGAGATCGAAGATGCTTCCCATCGAAGCCAACATATGGAGGATAGGTCTGAAGAGGCTCTCCTCGAATCTCTTCGAACAAAGAGAATTCTCCAGGTGTTTCACTTGGGGCAGTATCAGTCGAAGACTCACCCACCTTCCCTGATTTTTCTGCATGGGCAATTCGAGAAGCCCAAGCTTTGGGGGCCCTTGAGCTAGACATGCCACATGATGGAGAGGATCCTTTTCGTGACCTGTTTACAAGTGTCGAGGACGTTGTCGGTACCAATGATGTACTAGATCTTTTTCATGGGGTACAACATTCTTTGAATCAAGTAAGCCTTGAATTATTTTGTCGGTATTACCTTTATGTTTACTTTTCTTTTCTAACTTTGTTTTTCTTTGCAGGCCGCGACAGTTCATCGAGAAACATGTTCTCGGTCCTGAACTAAGTTGCATCGATACGAGGCCGACCTTCAATGGGTTACGAAGGAGAGGAACTCCCTTAAACTCCTCTTAGGGAAAAGGGGAGAGGAACTAAAAGACCTCCGAGCTAAGTTGGCCAAGGCTCGCCAAGATCAGACCGATCTGTCCGAGCAGGTAATAATACTTTTAAAAGCCTATGGGCTCGATACCGGAATGATAGCTAATATTTCGGTCTCACAGCTGCAGCAAAGAATTGAGATGATCGAAAAATTCCGTGAAGTAGTCGATGTGATAAAAGCGGAGTCTTTGAAGTGGAAAGAGGGTGTAGACCGCTTTGCTGTAGAGAGAGAAGCTGCTCGAGCTCAAGTATCATCGGCCGAAAACCAACTTCAAAGAATGAAGGAGAAAGGGTCGGTTCAAGAAAGAAGAATAGAGGAGCTCGATGCTCGGTTGGCCACTGAACTTGCCAAGACCGAATCTGACGTCGAAAAGGCAAAGGCCGATGCAGATGCACTTATGGCCGTCTATCAGGCCGATGCTGAAGCTGCCCAGGTCCAAGCAAGAGAGGAAGCCGAGACCGCCGATACTCAAGAACATTGGGTCGCTGAACTTGCTAAGTACCGATCTCGGAGGGAGACCCTCGAGGAGATCCATGCTCGAGGTTTCGATCTCGCCGAAGAGATAAAAAGGGCTAAAGAACTCGAGGCCGATGCTGAAGCCTTGGCTTCCGATAATGATGATGATGATAATGATATTGATGATGGGAGTAAGAGCTGGTCCGAGAATAGGGGGAAGGCCGATGGAGAAGAGACCGCTCCTGGAGATAACCAAGAAACTTAGGCCTTAGTTTCTATGTCGTAATCAATCATGTAAACAATCTTGTATAGATATATAAATATCTTTTTCTTTTATCGACTTGCTTCTACTTTGTTTCCTACCTTGTGAAGATTATATTCATGCCTTTATTGAATTTGGACTTCATAGCATTTATAGCCGAGTGAGCGCTTACTCAAATTTGAAATAAGGTAGCCCATAGTCGTAGTAGGCGAGTTGAGTGATTACTTGAAGTAATACAGCCCGTAGGAGTAATAGTCGAGTGAGTGCTTGCTCCAACGCGAAATAAAGTAGCCCGTAGGCTTAGTAGTCGAGTGAATAATTCGAACTCGAAGTAATGTTGCCCGTAGGCTTAGTAGTCAAGTGAATGATTCGAACTCAAAGTAATGTAGCCCGTAGGCATAATGGTCGAGTGAGTCCTTGCCGTAACTCGAAATAAGAGTAGCCCATAGGCTTATTAGTCGAGTGAATGATTCTAACTTGAAGTAATGTAGCCCGTAGGCGTAATGGTCGAGTAAGTGCTTGCTCGAACTCAAAATGAGAGTAGCCCATAGGCTTATTAGTCGAGTGAATGATTCGAACTCAAAGTAATGTATCCCGTAGGTATAATGGTTGAGTGAGTGCTTGCTCGAACTCAAAATGAGAGTACACCGTAGGCTTATTAGTCAAGTGTATGATTCGAAATCGAAGTAATGTAGCTCGTAGGCATAATGGTCGAGTGAGTGCTTGCTCGAACTCGAAATGAGAGTAGCCTCTAGGCTTAGTAGTCGAGTGAATGGTTTGAACTCGAAGTAATGTAGCCCATAGGTGTAATATTCGAGTGAGTGCTTGCTCGAAATCGAAATAAGAGTAGACCGTAGGCTTAGTAGTCGAGTGAATGGTTCGAACTCGAAGTAATGTAGCCTGTAGGCGTAATGGTCGAGTGATTACTTGCTCGAACTATAAATGAAAGTTGCCCGTAGGCTTAGTAGTCGAGTGAATGGTTCGAACTCGAAGTAATGTAGCATGTAGGCGTAACAGTCGAGTGAGTACTTGCTCGAACTCGAAGTAATGTAGCCCGTAGGCATAATAGTCGAGTGAATGTTTCGAACTCGTTGATTTACCTCAATCCTTTTGCGTAATAAATCTCGGATATAAGATAAAATAAGAAATTTTTCTTTGCAAGTCATTTTACATGTGTCCATGTTTTGTGTCAGGACTCGGACCAACTACATGAGCATGGTTCGTTTTGACCATTAAGCTCTTACAATATTTCCTATCGAAACCCTGTTGTTATGAAGTAACTTCCTCGGATACTGTGAGATTTTTAAGAAGTTTAGCACGATCAATGGTTTCCTCGTTAACAATCTTGACGAAAAACCCATTTGGGATAAAATCGGTCTAAGGGAAAAAGAGTGCAACGCGTGCTTTCAGACCCAGGGCTTCGTATTGAAGGATTCATCCTAGCTCCTGATCGGACTCCTGCAGGGGTTAGTTTTGAAATGTAAACGAATCTGGGTGGGTCGTACCTTAGCAGTAGTATTGTTTTAGGTGCGACACATTCCAATTGCTCGATAATTGTTTGCCGTTTATAATACCGAGCTTGTATAATCCTTTTCCGACATTTTCGAGAACCTGATACGGTTCTTCCCAGTCTAGTCGTAGTTTTCCTTCATTTGGATTTCGGGTACTGAGGGTGACTTTCCTTAACACTAAGTCCCCGAGTTTAAAATGGCGAAGCTTGGTTCTTCGATTATAATATCTTTCGATTTGCTGCTTTTAGGCGGCCAATTGGACGAGAGCAGCTTCTCGTTTTTCATCTGAGAAATAGCTTTACCTTGGGCCGATGGTAGAGGGTCGACGATATCCATTCCCCATTTCATGAATGTCCATGGGGATAGGACTGAGTGAAGTTGCTCTCCGGGCTGATGGATCATTGGTGCAAACCTTTGACATTTGTCACATTTTCGAACAAACTCCTTTGCATCTTCGTCCATATCGATCCAATAATAACCTGCCCTGATTATATTTTGAACTAATGAATCGGCTCCGGAGTGATTTGCACAAGTTCCCTCGTGCGCCTCACGTAGGACGTAGTCGGTGTCTCCTGGACCTAAACATACTGCCAATGGTCCATAAAATATCCTTCGATAAAGTGTTCCGTCTGCAGTTAATGTGAATCGAGCAGCTTTGGTTCGTAGGGCCCTCAAATTTTTAGGGTCTGATGGGAGCTTTCCATTCTTTAAATATTCAATGTACCTGTTCCTCCAATCCCAAGTTAAGCTTGTAGAATTTGTCTCGGCATGTCCTTCTTCGATAACGGATCTCGAGAATTGAAATACAGTCCCCGAGCTTATCTCGCTCTCCTCGACCAATGATCCCAAATTTACAAGTGCATCAGCCTCACTGTTTTGCTCTCGTGGAACATGCTGTAGAGTCCATTCTTTGAAATGGTGCAAAGTGACATGCAGTTTGTCCAAATACCTCTGCATTCTATTTTCTCGAACTTTGAAGGTTTTGTTTACTTGGTTTACCACTAGTAAAGAGTCACACTTGGCTTCAATGACTTCTGTTCCCAAGCTTTTATCTAGCTTGAGACCTGCAATCATGGCCTCATATTCGGCCTCACTGTTAGTCAACTTAGTAGTTTTGATAGATTACCTAATAGTGTTACCCGTGGGTGGCTTTAAAATAATGCCTAGCCCGGACCCCTTCACATTTGAATCCCCGTCCGTAAAAAGGGTCCATTCCCCCAATAACGTACCCGATTTCAATAAGAGTTCTTTTTCGACTTTGGGTACGAGGGTCGGCGTGAAATAGGCCACGAAGTCCCCTAAATTTTGAGACTTGATGGTCGTACGGGGTTGATATTCGATATCGTACCCACTGAGTTCGACGACCAATTTGGCCAGCCGACCTGATAGTTCGGGCTTGTGCAAAATATTACGGAGCGGGTAAGTGATCAATATGCATATGGGGTGACATTGAAAGTACGGTTTTAACTTTCAGAGGCGCTTATCGGTGCAAGTGCCAACTTTTCTAAGTGTGGATATCTAGTTTCTGCTTCTCCTAAGGTTCGGCTTACATAATAGACGGGAAATTGTGTACCTTGATCTTCTCGAACTAGGACACCGCTTACCGTAATTTCTGATACTGCCAAGTACAAGCAAAGTTTTTCGTCTGTTTTTGGAGTGTGAAGCAGAAGAGGGATAGATAGATATCGTTTTAATTCCTCTAATGCCTATTGGCATTCCGGGGTCCAAGAGAATTCGTTCTTCTTTTTTAGTAGAGAGAAATATTTGTGACTTCGATCTGACGACCTTGTAATGAATCGGCCTAAGGCTGTAATCCATCCTATTAGCCTCTGTACGGCTTTTACGCTGTCCACGGTGGAAATGTCTTCAATGGCCTTGATTTTATTGGGGTTAATCTTGATCCCCCGATTTGACACCATGAAGCCAAGGAACTTGCCTGTTTCTCGGGGTTGAGCTTCATGTTGTATTTCCTTAAGATCTCGAATGTTTCCTACAAATGGGTCAGATGGTCCTCTATGTGCAGGGATTTAACTAGCATGTCATCAATATAGACTTCCATCGATTTACCTATTTGTTCCTCGAACATTCTATTTACTAGGTGTTGGTACGTAGCTCCTGTATATTTTTGCCCGAAGGGCATCATATTATAATAATTGGTCCCATATTTGGTGAAAAGTGGTCCTGGTCTTCCGGGTTCATTTGGATTTGACTATACCCGGAATAGGCATAAAACAAGGTAAGGATGTCGTGGCCGGCCGTGGCATCGATCATGTGATCGATGTTGGGCAGCGGAAAAGAATCTTTGGGGCATGCTTTGTTCAAATTCTTATAATCTAGACACATTCTGAGTTTGTACCCTTTTGTAGGCACTACAACTATATTGGCTAACCATTCAGGATATTTCACCTCTCGAATGGACCCTATTTTGAGAAGTTTGGTTACCTCGTCTTTTATGAACGCGTATTTTACCTTGGACTGGGGTCTTCTCTTTTTCTTCACCGGTCTGAACTTAGGATCCAAGCTTACCCGATGCATCGTTATATCTGGTGGGATCCCTGTTATATATAAATAGGACCAGGCAAAACAATCTATGCTATTGATAAGAAATTGAATAAGCTTTTTCCTGAGTTCGTGGGTTAATCCCATCCCCGAGGATACCTTTCGCTCGGGCCATCGCTCGATTAGTATGACTTGCTCTAATTCCTCAATCGTTGATTGGGTAGCGTCGAAATCATCAGGAACCACGAAGGATCGAGGGTTACTTTGATCATCATCCTCATCGATCTTCTGATTTTATGGTTGGGTTAAAGCCGATGTCTGTGACTACTATTTGGCATCTTGTTCCCCCTTTGAGCCTGAACCATTTATCGATGAAGGCGAGGATATAGGAATTGTTACTTCGACCGTATACCGTTTTGATTCCCTCCAATGTTGGGAATTTTAGAACTTGGTGTAGGGTCGAAGTTACAACCCTCATGTTGTGGATCCATGGCCTTCCAAAAAGGGCGTTGTACCTTATGTTGCCTTCATTATGTGGAACTTCATTTCCTGGATGGTCCCGACAATGTTTATCGGTAGAATTACTTTGCCTTTGGTGGTTTCACATGCAATATTGAATCCATTAAGAACCAGGGTCGCGGGTACGATCTGACCTTGTAGACCGAGCTATTGTACGACCTTCAATCTAATGTTGTTAGCCGAGCTACCTGGATCAATTAACACATGCTTAACTTTAGTTTTATTCATAAGTACGGATATTACTATTGCATCATTGTGAGGTTGCACGACCCCTTCTGCATCTTCATCATTAAAGGACAAGGTTCCTATGGGTGCGTAATCCCAAGTTTGAAATCGCTTTTCTCTCGTAACCAATGTCTTAGTGTGTTTAAGTACCGACCCCTGAGGAGTATCGATGCCACCGATGATTATGTGGATGACATGCTGTGGTTCTTCCTGTTGGTTTTGCTTACCGAAATACCTGTTTTTAAAATGGTTTTTGGCTCTGTCGCATAAAATTCTTGAAGGTGCCCTTTATTGAATAATCGGGCTACTTCCTCTCTTAG